TCTGGTATATATAAGAGGGTGACAACGTGACGCGAATAATGTGTGTGTAGACAGTGAGTAATTGATCTGCAGTCAGAGAAAGACGTATTGTTGAAGTTAACGTTTGTTCGTTATAGTGTTTGTTATAGCGCGACTGTTGAAGTTGAGTGTATGGTAAAGTTGTATTCGGAAAGAATAAACCAGTTTTATTAAATAAAGACTTGTGTCACTAAAGTTTCGTCGGAACGAATTTACGGGAAATCAATTAACAAACGGAGACGTAACAATAACTACTCGGCATGTAGATAGTACAGTACTTCACTATAATAAAACATAAATATTTATGCTAATTTATGTCTAGCTCCCCATGCAGTGTTACAACAGAATGATGATTTGTTGACTTTTCATTGGATATGTTACGACAGAGGAAGTCACGCGACGCTGGGAGCATGCGCACTGGAGTTTCTAGAAGGATCATGACTTATCGGGAACCTCGCGAATGTTCCAGTGTTTGCTAGACGCCCTCTTTTTTAGTATATAAACCTGGCGAGTAAAACCAGCGCGATAGATATGCAAATAGATTGAAGATAGATCGGAATTATATAGATAATTGAGTCAAGCGAACAGTAGGCACCGTAAATAAAGTGTGTGAAGCGCTGTGAATTATAGCGTGTATTTATAAAAGTAGTTAAGTTAAAGTGACTGTGGAAATTCTGTGTATTATTAAAATTTGTATCAAGAAATAATAATCAAGACAGGACTTGTATCGCTGAAGTTCTTAGGAAAGAATTTCTACCGGAAATTAATAAACAAGCAGATATGTAACAGATGTTTGTAGATCTTATGTGAACAGCCATGTAATTGTTTAAGCAATATAGTATATTCTATGAAAAATTGCTTTTATAGATTTTCTAGAGGGGGAATGCCTTCAGATCCCCGTAACATTAGCTTGCTGATTGTGCTTCACACAATATATGTTGACTTTTAATCTCACAAATTAGAACCCCACTTTCAAATATTCTGCGTATACGCCTAGAAACCTGACCCTCCCAGGTCGCGCACAACGACCGAATACCTATTCAGAATTTCAAACAGATATTTAGTCTGACTATTTTATACGCATGCGCATTATGATCAAAGTTGTAGGGCTTTACAGTACAGTTATATAGATAAACAATTTTTTTCTGTATGAGGACAACCGAAACAGAGATTTTTTAACACGTGAGAATATATGTAATAATAAATGAATATATTTAACATGTATAATCAGCTTATTTATTCATAGTTTGAAAATTTTCATTGAAAAGTGCTTCGAGTTTGGCGTTGAGAGACCAAATAATTGAAAATTTTCAAATTCAAGTTTTTTTTTTATCTAGAACTAGTAGTACTACCTACTGTAGAGTGTAGTACTAGTAGTAGATACTACTAGTACTATTATTAGTAATAATAAAAGTAATACCAATAGCATTAAATGATTAATGTTAAATAGGCTTAGGCCAATTTGTTACGTAATTTAAGAGAACATGTCATGGGGTTGAATTTAACTTTATAATTTATTTGTCTACGATCTAAATTAAAATATACTTGCTCTAAATTAGCATAAATGTGAGATTAAACGTACTAGCTTCTCCAACAATATATTTGTTTCTTAAATTTGGTGAAAATTTGTTACCACATCAGTTACAGGAATTATATAATAAATTTACTTATAAAAAACATTTTTAAGTTTATTTGAGTGAACACAAGTAGTGTTATTTTTAAATAACCGGAATAATTCAACATAATTGTACTACCAAGTTGAATTTATTTTTTATATTTGTTATCTCAAGTGTTCAAATTAAAAAGCATTCATTAATTTATTTTTGAGGTGTTGGACTTTTTCAGTCTAATTAGTTATTAAGTTTATTAATGATTAAGTAACAGCTAAAACCTTTTGTGAAAGTGTTATGTAAATTGTAATATGCAACAGTGACATATATTTAAACTAAAGAAAGGAACCAGTTTTATTATTTGAAAATTTCCAAAAGAAATATGAAAAAATGAATATCTGTATACCTATAAAAGATTAATTTAAGTGCTATTATAAGATTTAGATACAGATTTATATTAAGAATAGGGATTTTACAGAAAAAAAATCAAATTTCAGAATCAGTAATGAATGCACATAACTAAAAGTATAAGGCACAGAAAGTGTGTGGGATAAGTTGGGTCATTGGACAGAGAAGTAGCTGGATGGAAGAAAGCAGAGGGGTGTTATAAGTGGAGTTCAGTCAAACTGGACTAATGTCACAAATGGGGTACGTCGGGACTCAGTGTTAGGACCTTTGCTCTTTTTGATTTACATCAATGACATAGATGAAGGAATGGTCAAGAAGTTACTTAAATTTGCTGATATTGAGGACTTTGATGTTGCTGATTATGTGGAGGATGCTGTTGGTTTAAAAACGATTTATATTATTTGGGTGAGTTTGGAGAATAAGTGGTAAATGGTCTTTAATTATAATAAATGCTAGTTTATGCATATCATTTGTCATAATTTGAATTATAAGTATAATTCTGATGAGAATAACCTTAACAGTATTACTGAAGAAAAGGATCTTGATGTTCTGGGTGACCAATAAGCCATACAAGTAGCATGCTGTTGCCAGTGGCAGAGCAAATACAATTTTAAGTTGTATATATATATATATAAAAAGTATTGAATACAAATATTGAGAGATTATAATTTCATTGTTTAGATCACTGGTTAGGCAACATTTAGAGCAGTGTTTCTCAAATATTTCAGCCTCGCGTATCACTTTATGTTTACTTTTTAAAAATAAACCCAGGCCTAATTTAAAAAAAAAAAGATAAGAAAACCTAGTAACAAAAATTCATATTTTTAACACCTACTCAATGCGAAGAATGCAATTGTTTTTTCTGGCACGATTGAAGAATATGTGGTACCATGTTTTTTATTTTAAGTGAAGAAAATTCTGGTGAGTCTATTAGTGAGGAGTAGTATGTGGAAAACTTGGATTGGGCTTATTACAAATTTTATGATTTTTTTTTATATGAATTGTGTTGTGTGCCACTGACATTACCTCCGTGTACCACCAGTGGTACACTTACCACAGTTTGAGCATCCGTGATTTAGAGTATTTTGTTCATTCTTGGGCTCCTTACCTCAGAAAGAACATTGAATTGCTGGAAAAGATTCAGAGAAAGGCTACTAGAATGATAAAAAGGATGGTAAGGTTGTCATATGAGGACAGGTTTAGATACTTGAAATTGTTTTCTCTTGAAAAAGGAAGAGTTGGAGAGGATCTTATTGAGGTGTTTAAAATGATTAAGGGAATTGATATGGTTGATGCATCATTATTTTCATTACTTGATAGAATGGTAGAACTAGGAGACACATATATAAGTTTTGGCATAGTAGAAGTCATCTTTATCCAAGACGGTTTTATTTTTTTGACAGAGTGGTTGGCCTTTGGAATGGGTTGTTTGAGATGTTGAGGAATCAGCAAAGTTTAAGGAGTGTAAGAGAAGACTTGATAAATATTTTAAGGAGAGTAAGAGAAAGCTTTTAAATATTTTTAAGGAGTATAACTGAAAGCTTGATAATTATTTTAAGGAGTGTAAGAGAAGGCTCAATAAATATTTAAGGAGTGTAAGGGAAGGAGTGATAAATATTTAAGGAGTGTAAGGGAAGGTGTGATAAATATTTAAGGAGTGTAAGGGAAGGCGTGATAAATATTTAAGGATGTAAGGAAGGCGTGATAAATATTTAAGGAGTGTAAGGGAAGGCTTGATAAATATTTTAAGGTGTGTAATGGAAGGCTTGATAAAGATTTAAGGAGTGTAAAGGAAGGCTCGATAAATATTTTAAGGAGTGTAAGGGAAGGCGTGATAAATATTTTTAAGGAGTGTAAGGGAAGGCGTGATAAATATTTTAAGGAGTGTAAGTGAAAGCTTGATAAAGATTTAAGGAGTGTAAGGGAAGGCTTGATAAATATTTTTAAGGAGTGTAAGGGAAGGCTTGATAAATATTAAAGGAGTGTAAGGGAATGCTTGATAAATATTTTAAGAAGTGTAAGAGAAAGCTTTTTAAATATTTTTAAGAAGTGTAAGAGAAAGCTTGATAAATATTTTAAAGGAGTGTTAGGGAAGACTTGATAAATATTTTAAAGGAGTGTAATGAAAGGCTTCATAATTATTTTTAAAGAGTGTAATAGAAGGCTCGATAAACATTTTTAAAGAGTGTAAGGGAAGGCTCAATAAACATTTTTAAAGAGTGTAAGGGAAGGCTCAATAAACATTTTTAAAGAGTGTAAGGGAAGGCTCAATAAACATTTTTAAAGAGTGTAAGGGAAGGCTCTATAAATATTTTTAAGGAGTGTAATGGAAGGCTTCATAAATATTTGAGTGATAAGGGTTACTTTTCAGTGTTTTATTTTTAAGTTTAGTGGATTACAAAGACTAGATGGACCAACAGGGTCCTTGTTGTTCTTAAATTTTATGTTTATATCACTTAAATTGTGGCTCTAGTCAATTAGAAAATAATGATTAAGTGAATCCTGTTCTAGTCCACTTAACATAATATTTTGGGACAACATGGGACCTATTGGTCCATCTCGGATGTTCCATCCTCTAAATTAAATTAAAATAATTGAAAATATAATATTAAAGCCAGCCCTTATCATTCATATACTTATCAAACTTTTTTCTTAAACTCACTTAAATTTACTGCCTCTACAACATCTGAAGGTAACCCATTCCAAAGGCCAACCATCCTGTTAGAAAAATGAAACTGTCTTAGCTGAAGATGACTCCTATCTTGCCAAACTTTATATTTGTGTCCCCTAATCCTACTATTCTCACTATTAAATATAAAAAAGATGATACATCAACACTATCAGTTCCCTTTACAATCTTAAACACCTCAGTCAGATCCCCCTAACTCTTCTTTTTTCAAGAGAATCAATTTGAGAGATTTCAGCCTCTCCTCGTATGATAACCCCTCCATCCCAGGAAACATTCTATTAACACTTATCTGAATCATTTCCAACAATTCAATGTATTTCCTATAATTATTTGGACAATTTTTATTACCTTCTTTGAAAAGAGAAGTTACATTAGCTAACTTCCAATCCTTTAGTACCTGCCCACTATTCATGGACTGACAAAAAATAATAGTAAGTGGCTCTCATATCCAGTCTTTAACCCAAGGGGAAATATTATCAGGCCCAGGAGTCTTATTATTTGTTAAACTTCCCAATTTTTTTTTAACCAGCTCAGAATTAATGTAGTCCTCTTGATCTCATTTCCATTTATCAACTGATCAAGATGTGGAATACTACTTAAATCTTCATTAGTAAAAACTGATGAAAAAGCAAAATTTAATAACCCAGCCATCTGATAATCATCAGATATTAGCCTTCCTTTATCATCCGTCAAGTGTCCTACCTCCAACCTAACATATTGTCTAAGCCTAAAGTACCGTTACACATACAAAGCCTATTTTAATGATGTAGTGATTTACACCACTAAACTCTTAAGTTAAAACTTTGACTGTCTTACTTTTATTTACCAGTCTTACTATATCTAGTTGCTATTGTGTTATTTAACTCAAATTACTACAAATTATAATAATATTAAATAACTTCAGAAATCTATAAGAGCTTAACTTTTAATGACCTCCATCTTCAGTCATGCCCCATATCTTCATCATTTAAAAATAAATTTGAATTCTTAAGTATTTCTATTAATTGTTACATTTTGTTCATATTTATTATTAGAATATTTAAACAATTTGACATTTTCCCATCTAACACTGTGTGTTCACCATATTTTTAGCTAAAGCTGGTTAATTAATGTTTTGTTTTTCTAAAGTTAAATTATGTTCATTAAATGTGAATTTTAAAATTTTACATCTATTGCCAATATACATTAGGCCACAATTATGAAAGGTTTTATAAATATCACACTTACCTGTTTTTAAGACTAGCAGTAAAATGAATGAGTTTGACTCAAGGTGAAAACATTACATGGCAGTTAATATATTCCTAAAAACATAACCTATGTATGGGGAAATTGTTTGAACATATGACAGACATATATTCTCTCAACCCTAGTAACTATGCATAGTACATTGTGAAATTTGTTAACTATTTATCATTCCATGGAAGGTTTTTTTTACATTACTGTAGCAAGGCTTTGACCATGACAAACCAAGCGTGAAGTACTTAAATGCAGCATGAGACATCTGGTGTATATATACAGGTGTCTAACATGCCTAAATAAATGGGTGTAGATGGGTGAAAACTTATAATTTCTATCAATAATATTGTTATTAAATCCTCTATCAATGGCAACATTTCTCAATAAATTGAATTTTGATATGAACTCTTCTTTATATGAACAAATATTTCAAGGTCTATATATATATATATATATGGTGAAAGCTGACTTTTGATATAACTTATAAAGAGGGGTATCCTGGCCCATTCTGTAGTTGTTTACATATTACTGTTGTTTAAGGCAAGGCTAGAATAACATCTTATCCCCAAATGAGATAAATCTAGGATTATTATCATTAATTACTTTCATAGTGGTGATGTCACAGATCATGAAGATTCTACTAATCATGATAAAGTAACCAACACAAGGACATAAACTGTGTAGTATCTAAACAGCTTTACCAAACTAAGGTTTCATCTTGAATGTGTTGATTTTCAAGATATCTCTCTTAAATCCATTTTACTTACTATTCAGTAGTATTTGAAGTCAAAACATCAGTAACTGTACTTAAAAAAATAAGATAAAATATTATTTTTAATTTTTTTTGCCATAAAAAATCCCTTTAGATATTCATTTTAATCATTTCTAGTTTATTATTATAAGGTTTTTCATGTGATTATCCAATAAGGAAGTTTCATTACCAAATTATTTTCTTGTGTGGTGACAGTGCTTTTTTAAAAATAACATGGATGTAATCATCATCATTCCTAAAACAACAACTTATAGGATTTTCAGTTCCTGGATGAAGGTTAAAAATTGCTGGAGTGTAACTAATAGCTCTCAGTGTAATGGTTCTCTGTAGTCTTTCATCTATACATTTGACTTACTGGTTTAATAGTGTACATTTTACTGCTCTTCCATTATATAAGAGATTAAATGGATTTTTAGTTTTATTCATTATCAAGAATGAAAGTTATATTCTTTATAAGAATGAAGTTTTATAAATTTTCCATTTCTATAAATATCTCATTGATAATTTTATAGTCTGTTTCTTGGTAGTGATGCTTAAACATTAGTGTAACTTGAGAAATTAACTTGTATAATTGGAAGTGATGTTTGAACATTAGTGTAACTCTTGAGAAATCAACTTGTATACTTGGTAGTGATGCTTAACATTAGTGTAACTCTTGAGAAATCAACTTGTATACTTGGAAGTGATGTTTGAACATTAGTGTAACTCTTGAGAAATCAACTTGTATACTTGGAAGTGATGCTTAAACATTAGTGTAACTCTTGAGAAATCAACTTGTATACTTGGAAGTAATGCTTAAACATTAGCGTAACTCTTGAAAAATCAACTTGTAATGCTTCCACATTAGTGTTTTTGTACATTGTGTTTCTGACAAGTCCAGGTTTGACATCATTTGTATTTAAACAGACAGTATCCAATCCAGTAGAAACTTTTATAAACTTTTCCCTGTCAGTTACGTCTCTATAGCAACAACTTTCCTTAATTTATATACTTTTTATTAATTCATGTGGTGCAACATCTCTTTTTACTGTTTTATGTTAACTCCTTTCTGAGAAACAAGTTTCAAAGTGAAGATACATACACATACCTTGTAACATTATTAATTCAGAAGTTTGTTTTCATAAGGAAAATAAGTTATACCAAACAAATTCCAGTATAATGATGCTTGAAGACGGCTTGAATGGGTAATGAAGAAAAACTTTAAGATAAGTTTAACATAACAGCAAATGTACAATGTTTCGACAAGGTTTTGTCATCATCAGGTACAAGCATTATTAGTTTCAAAGTGGGTTCCTCGTCTTTGAATTTAAATTCCAATATAATGTGATTGAAAGTTATTTATTAACTACAAATGAGTGAGGAAATAATGTTATATTTTTTGTAAGCTACAATATCTTTGCAGAGCTGAAACAATGGGGGTCAACCAGCTATGGAGTGTTTTGAGTCCTGCATGTGAACCCTGTCCATTAACAAGTTTACAGGGCAAGACCTTGGCTGTTGATCTGAGTGGCTGGGTTTGTGCTAGCCAGAATCACACCTCTTTGGAATTTGTGAAAAACCCACATCTTAGGTACAACTTTAATCTAAAATCTATTACTAACTTGCTTCAATACTAGCTATATGTTTCTTGTGAAACCTGGCTATTGTTTCTTTACTTCTAGCTGTAACTTTAATTTAAAATCTGTTGCTTACTTGTTCCAGTACTAGCTATATATCTGTTGTGAAACCTGGCTTTTCTTTCTTTACTTCTAGATGTAAATTTAATCTAAAATCTGGTTCTTACTTGCTTCAGTACTAGCTATATGTATTTGTCTGTGTGTGTGTGTGTGTGTGTGTATATATATATATATATACTTGTGTGCATGTGGGTTTTATGAAATCTTGTTCCTACTTTCAATTTAAATATGAAATCTGGTTCTTGCTTGGCTTAATATCAGCTTTATATGTAGTGTTAAAAATG